CTGCATCCATAGGTGTAGGTCAAGTTCATCAAATTGTATCAGATTCCTCTTTTTTTTCCCTTCCTCTTTCTTCTTCTAGTTGAGCTCGGATCATCCAGTCAGAAGACATCTTTTTGTGCATCTCATTTTCTCAAAGTTTACATGCAAATATTTTGAATATGTAAATCTTTCTGAGTGAGCATTCTTATGTTTCAAATGCCCATCATTTCTCTTAGAATTCAAGGAACAAAACAGAGAAGCTGGCCTTCAATTCCTTCAATAACATTAGTCTAATTTTTCCTGTAACTTACTCCAGGCTACTTTCATTACAATATTATAATATAGGATGATACCCCTGTCTAAGATACCAATTCCCTAAAGGTCTATACCAGATGATATTCCTAGTTTATGAAACTGACCTTAAATTTTCATGGACATTTAGTGTTTGAAAGTTTTTACATCTTAGATTTAAAATTGTTGTTGTTGTTAAGTGCCACTGATTCACTTCTGACTCATAGCGACCCCGTATACTGTTTCCAAGGAGTGGCTGGTGAGCTTGAACCCCCGACCTTGTGGTTCAAACTGACCTTGAAGTTCAGTGCATTAAACTGCAACACTACACCAGGACTCCTGATTAAAAACACACGCACTAAAATAATTCTAATAATTCTACCTTGTTTCATCAGTTGAGAAAGTACACACAGAATGCTCTTTAGAATCAAGAATGGTGAGTGGTCAGATTACTTTTAATAGGTATCCATCAGGAGAGACAAAAAGCTGGAGAAGGACATATGCATGGTAAAGTAGAGGGTCATGCAAAAACAGGGTGACTTTCCACGAGAGACAGGCTGAATAGGCTACAACAATGGGTTTAAATATACAGCTAACTGTAAGGATGGTGCGGAACCAGGCAACCGTTAGATGAGCTGTCATGAGTGGGAACTGACTTGGCAACAACTAAGAACAACACTACCACATTAGGTCAGGACTAACCGTTGTATTTTTCACTGACTTGTAACGTCTCAGTTACAACCATTACTAAAACACAGCTCTAAAAGTTGACATCCAATTTCATGTGGTGTTGTAGGATAAGCACTGAATGTTACCCACCAGCTGCTCCTCAGAAACCCTACACAGAGTGGGTATGAGTTGGGATCAACTTGACAGTAGTTAATAACAACAACAACAACAACAACAATTATTAACTAGTTATCGTCAGGGCAGAATCTCAGTTCGTCTAGTTGATCACTTTTCCAGCAATGAGACTGGCCCAAAAGTGTTCTTCAGATTCTGTGAGGCGAGAATGTATCAATGATTGAACATAGTAAAAGATTTATGAATTATATATTTCTGATGAAAGATGGAAATTGTGTACTCCTGGCATAGCAGACAAAACAGTCTCATTACTCGTGGGTCACTGCTTATGAAAATAAAGGGACTGATCGTTGGGAAACACCTAGTGATGAATGGAGATGCATTCAACAGCCACAAACTAGGATTACCAAAAAAAGCCAAATAAGTATAAGTAATAGAGGAGAGAGCATAACAAAGCACAAAAGTGCTCACCAGGACAAGGATGCTCTGGGAAGCTTTGGTCTCAGGGGAGGACCTATGGGAGACATGGCTCCTGTAAATGTGTCTGACCCGCTGTTTGTGTCTGTACAGGATGAAAACCATGGAGCCGCTGGCCCAGGACATGAGTCCCAAACACACAACATCATGAGAGGATATCAATGCCGTAAAGAGTGAAAATTTAATATTGTCATTAAGTGAAAGAGAACAGTATCCCAATTTATTTTGATTTGAGGTGGTTTTATTGTTCCTTTTGCTAGAACCATAAATAGGAAAAATGACATTGATCAGCATATGCAGTGCCCAGAAGAGGAGAGTAGAAGGACCAATGTATTTTGGGACTGTTAGCTTAAGGTTTGCACACCTGAGATCTCTGGGGCTGATGGTGATGGCCTGGAAGACATTCAATAGGCAGGTGCTGCTAATGGACACACCTCTGGCCACTCTGTGAACATAGAGAACAAGATTGCATTCAAAATCCTTGAGGAAATCGTTCAACCCAAAAGCTGCCATAGTCTGGGGGATTCCAATAGAGAGAATGACCAAGAAATTAGCTACAGTCAGGTGTCTGAGAATCAAGTCTGTGGACTGTTCCCTGTCTCCACGGCAGTGTAGGCAGATGTAATGAATTAGGAGGGAAAGATTACCCAGGGTTCCAAGGACTATCTGGAATATGTAAATCGCTGCTATTTTCAAGTCAAAGAAGGACATTCTGTCAGTATCCAGGGCTTTTGAATAAAATTCACAAGCACAAAGGTCTGCATGGAAGCCAGAGCTGTAGACGACATTATTTATGGGAGTTAAAATCCAAAGCTTTCTACACATTATAGCGTCACTCTCAAAATGAATATCTAAACATATTGACTTTGTTAACAGAATGCCAGGATTGTCTGTGTGTCTTTTTGTAGCATTTTCAATGTATTTAGTTGTTATTCTGAAGATTTTACTTATTTAAAAATGTTTAATATACATGACTGTATGCATGAGGAGCGAATATTACTTTCCCTTGTCAGACAAAGAGAATCTATCCATAGGGAGGTTATGAGAGTCATCTACAAGAGGTAGAGCCATGATTTCAATCTGGATAACTTGCTTACAATGATATTAATATTGACTACCATACTATTCTATCATATCACCTTACAATTTTCTTCAAAGAATCCAAATACCTCTGATAGTTTAATACATTTTACAAGTTTAGTTGTGATAATTGCTCATTATTCTAAAGTATTTATGCCATGTTGTTGTTGTTGTCAAGTGCTGTCGAGTCGATTCCGACCCATAGTGACCCTGTTTAGGGTTTCCAAGGAGCAGCTGGTGAGTTTGAACCACCGACCTTGCAGTTCAAATGGCTTTGCAGTCTGGTGATAGACCAATATAATTTATAAATCAAGGTTCAGAATTTTAAAAAATATAATACACATACCCTGAATCCTTTTCCATGACAGAACTGGATTTATAATTATTTAATATGGTAACAGAATCAGTCACAGAAATTAAAGTACAATGACATCCATCACAGAAATTATTGTACATAAGTATGCTGTAAATCCAAACTGTAGGACATACAACAATCTGTGAGGATGTATTTGGAAGTAAATACTAATTTAATCCTCATCAGAGATCATGAATCCATGTATTTGCTGTTTCTGAATGATGAATGTATATTACAATTAATATTTGTTTTGGAGAACATAGTAAAACACACAAATATGCTGGATAACTGAAATGGAAGGGAGATGATTGGTGAGCTGGGAAATAATGTTGGAATATTTACAATCAGAGAAAGTACCAAGAGAAACATTTGATCCTTCAATTGGTGGTCTGAAGTCCTGATATATTTTTTTTTTGATGTTGAAAGTGTCCAATTATGAGGACAAAATTTCCTTAAAAGTCCCTTTCCTCATTCAGAAAGGCAAGTAATCTCATAATGATCTCACATCAGACCACAGATATCTTGTTGATCTACATGTACGGCCTTCACTGAGCACCCAAATTACACACAAAGAATCCTATGTGACCATTTCCACCATTTTCCACTGTCTGCTGAGAATTAGATAATTCAGTTAGTGCCATTACACCCATTACTATATGGACAGAGTATTTACAGAAACTTTCTTGTGACTTTTGTACATCATATAGGATGGCAAACGAATTCCCAAGTTCCAATCCTGAAGCACCATGAAATCAGATTTTGATTCTAGTTGGATCAAACACCGAGAACCACCTTCCTTTAGGGTTAGTTCAGGGTCTTCAAAAGCTCAGCTCATGCTACAGAATTGCCATTCTTCCTGGTGACACTGAGCCCTGGTATGGCGCTGTAGGATAAGCAGTAGACTAATAACTGAAAGGTTGGCAGTTCAAACCCACCAGCTGCTCTCAGAAACCCTATACAGGGTTGCTGTGCCTTGGATCTGATTGAGAGCACGTCACCACCACCACCACCACCACCACTGGTGATACTAACACTGGACCAGTCTCTATCCCAGAGCAGTCCCTTTTCCTTCTAGACCTGATTTTGTGCTGAAATAGAAACTACTCACCTGAATCCTACCTGCTGTCCGTATGATAAACTCAGCAACCATCACAACAGCAAAAACACGTGTGAAAGAGAGGCACCCAGACGCTGGAATATGTGTTAGTGATTCTGTGACCTCCCCTCCCCACAGAAGTGCAATGATCACATCTCCTGTAGCAGGTTTGAAGGCTCACCACTGGGGACCAGGGAAAAGTTCTGAAGAAGTCTGCCTCACTTTCTAGTTCCGGGAAACTCAAGTGTCTAGTGAACATCTCCAAAGAGACTATTACAGCACGTGGGAGAGTCTTCATTTCCCATGATCACTGGATGCAGGCAGGGCCTCCCATGGAGGAACCATGAGAGGCTGAGGTGAGAGCTAGGAGAGACTGGCAGAGAGCATATGGGGCTTATTGGTTCTCAGCTTACCTGGCATGTTCTTCTCCTAGAATCTAAAACTTTGTTAATCAGCAGACTCCTGAGTACCACCTTGATTTAATTTATTCGTAGGGGGATGGAGTCCCATTACGGTGTCTCAGGAGAACTTTTTACTTGTAATTGTGAGGATGGTATAGGTAGAGGTTAGAAAACATTCTCCTCGTTTCAAACTCATTATAAATGAACTAGGAAACCCAGATGAAATGGAAATGTTCTAGAAAACACACTATCCCCATCTGGACTTCTAAAGAACTTGCTGTTAGCTCTCATCAAGAGTGTTACTCCGTTAGAGAACAAAGGGGATCCACGGGGTTTTCTTGAGTGTAATCTTATGGAAGCAGATCTCCATGTGTGTGGTCAGCAGAGTCACTGTGTGCCTTACAGCTACCGACTTTACAGTTAGCCACGGATCACAAATTGCTCTCACTGCCCAGACTCCTTTTTGAAAAAATATTCAGTTTGACTAGAACAATATCAATAGGGGAATGGGAGAAGTTTACATAAGAGTCTATCACAACAGAAGCACGAGGCTTACACATTAAAACAAAAATGCATCTATATTGCTTTTATGTTTATTTCAACTCATGGCAACTCTTTTTGCTATAGCAGAGAACCAATCCACTGGGTCTTCTTGGCTATAATCTCCAAGAAAGCAGATCATCAGGTTGTTTTTTTTTTTTGTATCTGTTCTGGTTGTGTTTGAACAATCAGCCTTTAGCTTAATAGTCAAGGACAAAACCATTCACATCACCTCTTGATACTAAATACATTAATTGAAGAAATAAACCAGCCCAGTAAAAATAAGATTGCCATAAATGCTATGTGGTGATGCAAAACAAAACAATATGTCTGAATGCTACTGTAGACCATAACAGGTCCTTGGATGGTCCTGAAAAGTGACATTAAACTTCTATTTCCTTACCAAGGAGTTGTTAAGAAGACCAGGCTGAAGGGCAGTCTGGAGGGCTGTCCTAACGTGGGGGTCATTACACCGAGGTGAGTGCTTCATAGAGGGGGGAAGGACAGAGCTCAGGGCATGCTTCTGTGGTCTTGTGAGTAAGGTGAGAAATGAGATAAGAATTGAGCTCTGATGTCAGTCATGAGAACTATTGAAGTGGGCTGTACAACTCACTTTCAGAGCGATGGAAGAAGTTAAGGAAACATTACTACCCCAAACACATTGCAAAATGTCATCCTGCTTTCTCTTTAGGAAAAGGAAAAAAAAAATTGTAGGGAAGGAATAGAGAAGGCAGGGAACTGAACTGTGAGCAGCTATTAAAGTCATTCAGGTCAGAGATAAATACTGCTTTTGTTGGTGGAAATGGGAAGTGGCCCAATTCAGTACACGTTGAGAGTTAGGACATCTACCTACTAATTCATATGAAGAGTGAGATGAGTATGGGATGAGTATGCAATCGCAAATAAGGAGGAATAGGATAAAATAGTGAGTAAGTGTAAAACTGAGACACTGGCTTAAGAATTGTCTCAATAAGCTTGGGATTTAGTGAGTCACTGAGAACTCTAGAACAGGCAACAAGGAAAAAGAAGCTTCTACAATAAACTGGGAGTCCTGGTGTGGCGCTGTGGGTTAATGTACTGAACTGCAAAGTTGATTTGAACTGCAAAGTTGATGGTTCTAGCTCATCAGCTGCTACCAGCTGCTCCTAGGAAACCCTATGCAGGGTTGGTATGCGTTGGAACTGACTCCATAGCACTTAACAATAACATAATATGTCATAATGATGACACCATATGTTCCAGATTACAACTGCCTGGAGACCTTATGCACAACTGAACAAAACACTGCCTGGGACCTCTGGGTGGCCTCAAATCTCCAAGCTTTTGCTTAGCACCAAGATAGTTAACCTTTGCACTTCTGAGGAAGCATGACTTGAACAGGTGTACCTAAAGACTCATCATGAGATCTGTGTAGTATCTCCAATACAGGGAGGGTAATATTACCCATCTCACAATCTTGGGATTAAGTTATCATGATAACATCATGATAAATGGAAAAAAGATGGAAATTATCAAAGATTTCATCTTGCTTGGCTCCACATCAACACTCATGGAAGCTGTTGCTGTTAGGTGCCATCGAGTCGGCACCAACTCATAGTGACCTTATGCACAGCAGACCGAAACACTGCCCAATCCTGGGCTAATCTCACTACTGTTGCCACGCTTGAGTCCATTGATGCTGCCACCTGGCCAATCCATCTCGTTGGGGGTCTTCCTTTTTTTAGCTGACCCTCCATCTTACCAAACATGATATCCTTCTCTAGTGACTGTTCCCTCCTGACAATATGTCCAAATATGAGGGACGGAGTTTGGCCATCTTGGCCTCGAAGGAGCACTCTGGCTGTACTTCTTCCAAAACAGATCTATTGGTTCTTTTGGCAGCCCATGGCACTTTTAGTATTCTATTCCAACACCATAACTCAAAGACATCAATTCTTTTACGGTCTTCCTTATTCACTGTCCAGCTTTTGCATGCTTATGAGGTTATTGAAAATATCATGGCCTGGGTCAGGCGCACCTTAGTCTGCAAGCTGACATCTTTGCTCTTCAAGCGACTTATTGCATTAGGCAAATCTGCTGCACAAGACCTCTTTAAAGTGTTCAAAATCAGAGATTTCAGTTTGAGGACTGAGGTTCATCTGACCCAAACCATGGTCATATGCATGTGAAAGCTGGGCAATAAATAAGGAAGACCGTATAAGAATGAATGCATTTGAGTTATGGTGTTGGAGAAGAATAT